ATGAGTCAATTAAGCATCTTTCCTTTATAAATTACCCAGTCTCAGATATGTCGGTATTAGCAGTGTGAGAAAAGAGTAATACACCAGTTATAAAAAGTATTAAGGGTTTCTCTTTTAAAGGAAGAGAGGAGAGAAGTGGGGGGAAGGGAGGGAAGGGGGGGGAGCGAGATTGTTAGCTGAAGGGTAAAGGATTCTTGTTATTAAGATGTTAGAGCCTAGAACACATTTAAATACTGATGAGAAGGATACAATGGAGAGAGAAAATTTGAATCAATAGTTTCTTTCAACTACCACAGAAAAGGATGAGATCCAGAAGTTTTGTAGAGAGATGAGTTTTCCTCATGGGAGAGAGAAGAGCAGATGGGGCTGAATGCTGGATCCTAAGGGTGGGACATTAAGGGAGTCTGCTTTTTTATGGCTTTTATTTTTGCTTTGGTCTTGAAGGAAAGGATGTCTGCTGAGATATAAGGGTTTGGACAGGAGGATTAGAGTTTTAATGAATAAAAACATATATGAAATAGCCACTTCAGAGAGAGGGACAGACAGTATGTGTTTTGGTTTAGACCAGGGTTCCTGGAGTTCTAGGGGTTTGAATTCAAATCCTAGCTCCTCCACTTACCTATAGTGCTGTGAACAAGGAACAGAACCAAGCTAAGACCCCAAATCTTCTTTGAAGTGGGATTATAATGGCATGTTCACCATAGACTTGGGGATAATAAATGAAAAATACTTTATTTCAACTATTTTCACAGGTCCTCACACAGGTTTTGAATAAATTGTGCCCATGATTATTGCTATTATAAAGCAAAATGAAAAAACACAATGGCTCTATTAATATGCACGTTTATATCCTGTAAAGAAAGGTTTCCAAGTAATTCAGTACTAAGAAAAAGAGTAGTGTTTGAAATGGAGATCCATATCATTAGGTTAACATGTAAAGATCTTGTTCAAAGAGGAAGGTGGTTTAGATGTGGTGATAACTTTAGACATCAACTGGACTGGATTGAGGAAATACCTGGAGAACTGGTAAAGCATGATTTTTGGTGTTTCTGTGAGGATGTTTCCAGAGGACTTTGGCATCTGCGTCAGTGGACTCAGAGGAAGATCCCTCCTCACCATGGGAAGGTGCCATCTCATCAGCTGATGGCCCAGATGGAACAATAAGATAGAGGAAAGAATGTGTGTGTCTCTCATTCTTAGTGCTGGAACTTACCCTTCATTCCTTGCTCTTGGACAACAGAACTCTACTTTTTGGACTGTAGGACTTAGTATCAGCACCTTGCTTCCCACAGCCAAGTAGTTACTCCTTGGATCTTGGTCTGAGATTTACACCATTGGCTTCCAGGGTCACACTACCCCATGCCAGGATCTCCAGCTGGCAGTTGGCTTGTCTGGAGGCTTGTCAGACTCTGTAATCACGAACCAATTCTTATAACAAATGCTCTCTTTATGTCTCTCTCTCTGTCTCTCTCTCTCTCTCTCTCTCTTTCTCTGTCTCTCTCCATCCATCCATCCATCCATCCATCCATCCATCATTTGTATCTATCCTATTGGCTCTATCTCTCTGGAGAACCATAATACAGATGCCAGCAAACCAAAACCAAGTGGCAAATGTCGACCATTGAAATTCCTCTCCTTCCTTAATGATTCTTAGGAACCACAATCACGTGTAAAACTACATGTAATTCTGAAGTCAGAAAAGGTAAAATGTTATACCTGCTAGCTCACGTAGCTCATTTCACTACCACAATCTGCCATTATTCAAATACTGAGTAAAAAAATAACAGCCTCCAAAAGACTAAAATCATTGATTTTTATTTAGAAGAAAAAGAAATTTTAATGACAGGCAATTTTAATCTTACTATTTCAATTTATAAGATGTGACTTGCTGATAATTTTTATGTACTGAAATGACGAATGCTATGTGTTATAAAATATTTTGTCATAATGACCTATTATTCTGACCTACTTTATTTTCAGGGGTACTTATAGGAGTTTATAAAGGTTTCTGCTAAAAATGACATAAGAGAAAAAGAGGACGAGGTAAGCTCTTTCTATGAGTTTCTTAAAATTCATGAAAGTAGTCTGTACTGATTTAAATGGTATTCCCTCAAAAGTCATGTCATTTCCAGAACCCCAGAATGTGCCCTTATTTGGAAACAGGGTCACTGTAGATGTACTTAGTTAAGATGAGGTAACACTAGAGTAGAGTAGGCCCTACATCCGATAATGCTGATGTCTTTTTAGGAAGAGGAGCAGAGCCACAGGGAGTGGTGGACATGTGAAGACAGAGGCAGAGACTGAGTGATGTGCCTGCAAGCCAAGGAAGCTGGTGCCTTCCCGGCCACCACCAGAGAAGCATGGTGCAGATTCTTCCTCTAGTGGGAACCAGACTGCTGGTGTGTTAATTTCAGACTTCTACCCCCCAGAACTGTGAGAGAATAAATTGCCTAAAACTAGTTTAAGCCACTCAGTTTATAAGAGTGTGTGATGTCAGCCCTAAAAAGCTAATACAGAGTCCTAAAGAATTTCAATAAAGGTGTCAGGAATTCTAGATTACAGACAATACTGAAAGGACCTTGTAGCATTCTTCCACTTCTGTAATGTTTGTTGCTCTTTTGTTCTTTCCTATTTTGTTTTTATTGTGATTAGCAAAAATACCACTGGGAAAAAAAATGAAGAAATAATACCAACAGAAACAAAGCTATGTACTTGTTTTAGGAAGCAACTTAGAAAGGAAAGATGGGGGCTGTGTTCTAAAAGGTGAGGAGAAATTTATAGCGATGATAGACTCTCCATGGTCCTGTGCAGCACTGAATTCTGAGAACTTTGAAACAAACCTAAGTATACGTTAGTGCCCAGTAAGTAGTTGTTGAATGAATGGATGAGTAGCCAAATAAATGAATTGACGAGATAATCAGTCTGTGAGACAAGATGCAACACAGATGAGTAGACAAGAGTGGGTTAGTTTGACTAAAAATTGAAGATCACCCATTTTTTGAGCAAACAAATATGTAAGCATCTGCTATTGGCCAAGCGTGGTTGTTGGCATAATGGAATAGCAAAGCAAAGGCCTATTGTCAAGGAGTATAGATTCTTGGAGTTTAGCAGCAGGGGCATAGGAAAAATCAGAGTTTCTGCCATTTTTAAAAATTATTTTTAATTGGAATATAGATAGAGTCAAGTTGCTCAGAAATAAAGTAAGATAAATTAATTGGTTTAAAATATCTTCCACACTACCCTTTATGGAAAGTGTAGAGAAGGGTCTAGTCTCTAAATGTAGGCAACTTGAGACTCCCTTTTCCTATATTCTTTTAATCCCTGTGCCTCAAAAGGTGCAATCAGTCTATTATTGAACAGAAAACAATGTCCTTTCTCTTTGGGATTTTATATGAGCCCCTAAGAAAAGCTGCTACTGTCCTAGTTTGTAAAAGTTTAAGTGGGTGAGTATGCATCTACTCTGTTTAGTTGGAAAATTAGCCCAGGTTTCACCAGTCCTCAATACCAACTGATTATTGAACATGTGCTAAAGGAAACTTCTGTATAGACCAGTACACCACACAATTGCAGAAATTCTCTAAGTAAAGAAACACACTGTGATCTTCCTGGTGAAGCTGAAGAAAAGTGGTTTTTTTGGATAAATGCATCTGTATAAGATACATTTGTGTAAAAAACAATCTCTTTACATTGAAGTGCAGCTGTATTGTTAGATGTTGTTCCAAGAAAGCTCAGCTTAAATTTCTTATGGATTGCTTTGGCTTAAAATAATTGCCTCACTGGATGGTCGGAAATGACCAAGAAACCAAATATATTTCTTAGTAATAACTGTCATCCCAGACTGTTAAATAATACTGCACAGTAAAGAGTTTTAGAAAACTATTTTAAATGATAGATTCTATTTTGGTTTAAGGCAAAGTCTTAAATGATTAAATAATTTAAATAATTTTTTAATGAAATTTTACAAGCAAAAGAATTAATCTTCAAGATACAGAATCATGGCTTTTAGAAATGACTCTCATGATATTCTATTATTTTTAAAACTATGTGACTATTTTTAGGAATTAAAATTGCCCTGGTAGATACCTGATAGATGCCTGTCTCACAAATCATCTTTTTCTATCATTCACAAATTTTGTAAATGTTATAATTTATGGGGTTTTAAAATTTTGTTTGTTTGTGTGTGTGTTTGCTTGCTTTTTTTAGACAGGAACTTAGGACTCTCTCTGTCACCCAGGCTGGATTGCAGTGGTGTGATCTCGGCTTACTGTACTCTCCCTTGTGGATTCAAGGGATCCTCCCTCCTCAGTTTTCCAAGTAGCTCGGACTACAGGCATGCACCAACATGCCTGGCTAAGTTTTTAATTCTTTGTAGAGATGGGGTCTATATTTCTCTGGTTGGTCTTGAACTCCTGGGCTTAAGCAGTCTCCCACCTTGGCTTTCCAAAATGTGGGATTACAAGCATGAGCCAGTGTGCCTAGTGAGTTTACAGTTTTTACATTCAGTTCATTTTTATATGACTGGCACTTGCGTAGAATTATTTATATAATCAATATATTTTAGATATGTAACCCAGAAGTAAATCACTACTGAATCTGCGCTGGAGGAAATATAATTTTGAGAGAGTAAAAATTCTATTTGATAGACCGCACCAAAAGTAGGGTATCACAGGCTTGAAGAGCCTCAGTGAGTTTGGTAATAACGGGGACGAAGACTGTCCTTCCAGATCCCAGGTCTGGTAGCAGTATGGTTTTAAGTTCCATGTGTTGGAAGTCTCAGCTTCTAACATAAAGGTTTGCTTTATACAAAATGAGCCTGTTTGGAAAGATGTAAGATACCAGGTTAGAGGGAGAATTGGGGGAAGCAGACAGGAGACAGTAAGAGAAGGGTGATATTCTTCCGCTAACTTGTGGGTACTAACAAGTTTCATCAGAACGTTGCTAAGGATTCCTCAGAACAATGGACAAAGATAACTGTAAGAAGTAGAGGGCTATTAAAACGCTCACGGGTGCTGACAGGAACCCGGGGTGGGCGGTGGGTTGAGAACATGGAAGCTCTGCAGGGGGTGAGGGAACTGTGTTTGACACCAATCATGGGAAGCCTGGAGAAACTGAGGCAGGGACTGGAATGCTGCTGAGACTTGATCATTTTCAGGGCCACCAGGTAATCTAACTCAGTAATATGTCTTGGGTAAAAGGGAATTAGGAATAATTGGAACTGTGGCTGGCCAAAAATTTCATACCCTATTTATAGCCATTTGTCAGATTTAGAATGAGTGAAAGGAAGGATTCTTTTTATTATTTTTTAAAATACACACTTCATTTTTCACACCCACATCATAAGTCATCCAGAGAGAGAATTAGGCCTGTGGACCCCCCCTTTCTGTAGTACCTCATATGCAATTTTTGTAAGACTCTTGTTTTTTGTTACAAGTGAATGTTTTATAAAGAAAATGCTTTTTTTTTCATTTTCTATAAAAATACCTCCTTGTGAAAATTGTTAAGAGACCTAATTATTGTATCTTTACATAACTCTAAATTTAGTGTATGTAAAAATTCAAAACATAGACATTTGGAAATGACTTTCTCCTCTCAGTACTGAAGTTGGGAGGAGAGGAAAACAAAGTGAGAAATTCCAGTGCCTGGATATTCCCAGGCTAATTTCTAGACAAGTGAGTTTTGATAAGTTCACGTTTCAGATAAGAATTTCTTTTTTCTTCTCTTGTTGGTTTTTCCAAATGGTGAGTAAAAATGTCTCTGAAAGAGCCAGAAAAATATATGTGAATGTGGAGAATTATTGACATAAGATTTTAGTAAATTAGTATGAGGATGAGACCCTCCAATAAATATTATTTAGAGTTAATTTAATAGTCCTCTTCCCTATCATAACCCATTTAAAAATGTGGGTGTATATATGTGTCCATTTATAAAAATTTAGTGTGAAGTGCTTAGTTTTTCTTTATGTAAAACATACAAAATAAATGCAAATAATTGAAGCCATTACACAGACATTTTCCTCTTAAATTCTGTAAATAGATATTCCAATAAAGGCACTACAAACATCTTACTTTCTGTCTTAAATATAATTGAGAGTATTTACATATTAAACTTTTAAAATGAAAAATAATTGGATTTCAAATTGTCTTAAAGATTCATAATGTAATATTCTTCACCCTAAATCACCCAGATTATTTCTAAACTAATTTTTTTACTTTGCCTTCATAAATACAGACTTTGATTAATATAATTTAGCAATTGATCAATCTGAGATATTTTTACCTTCCCACATTACAGTACACCAGGGAATAAAAACTGACTTTGGTGCTCAAATGTACCAAACACAGTTTCTGTGGTCAAGCTCCTCTCCTTTTCTAAATTTGCTTAGAGGATCTCATAGGACCTAACTCCTCTGACAAGGGGACCATTTTAGCACCAACACTACAAAAGCTTCTGTGTTCATAGGGAAATATCCTCCCCTGAATTAAATTTAACTGCTTTAGTACTCCCATTTAGCCACCTGATAAATCCACTTGAGCTATCTTTTGGGGAGAGAGAGGTACATGGGAACAATAACACTTCCTTTTTGAACAGTTTAATAAAGCTTTGTGAGATTTCAAGATGAAAGATAATGTGTAATGCTGATAGTGCCCTCCAAAGCTCTGCATTCATGGATCCAATTACGTTTTTTTTGTCATGGTAAAAGCCACAGTGGATATATTAAATGAGAGTGTGGCTTAAGAATGAAGGCCCAGAAGTCTGGAGATCTGGTTTCTAAGGTTGACTTAACTTCTGCTTTCTTATCTCACTATAAGTATGCAGCTTAACGTCTTTACCTCAGTGTCTCCTTCCATAAAGTGCCCAGCAAATAGCCGAGAAATTCTTTTAAAATGACAGTGCAAATTGCCATTTAGAATCACCTTGGAATGTCTAGAAAAAAACGAGGTGAGTGTTCGAAAAGGGAAATACAATCTTCTGCTTAATTTCAGATTTATCATAAAGTTCATCTTTTACTTTTTAAAAGTCATGAGATTTCCAGAAGAGGAGTGACATTTTCAAAGCTGTAAGGACACTTGCGAAAAACACTCCTTCAACTATTCTTTATTTCTCACCAAAATTTTGACTCTGGCTTTTCTCCAACTTCCTCTCTTTCCCAATTCCCAATGCAACTTGAAAAGAGTAATTACAGTGTTAACTTTTTCCATGCTGGAGTATTTCCTTGCAGCTTATTTGTTTCATATAATTTATAAATGTATGCATGTCAGATTTTGTTTCAGATATATGTGATTTCTGGCTTTAGTCAGTCAATCCCCAAACCCTTAAATGGATTCATTTAGCTGTGAAATAATTGATTATGAATTTGTAGTATTATCTAATTTCATTTTTAAATTCAAGTTGATAGAACATTGCCATTTATTGATTATTCTATTTCCCTTCACCTTGAGATAATCTTGAAGAAGCAGAATAGTACCATTAGTAAAACAACATCCATGTACAAATGACTATGCTTTTAAAATACACACACACACACCACACACACACCACACGCACACACCACACACACACACACACACACACACACGCATACACACAGCTTCTAGTAATAAGCCATGTTTTGAGTAAAATCTTTTGAAAGATGTTTAGCAAACCAAAACAATTTCTGTCTTCCTGTGCGATGCCTGCAGTTATATGGTTTAGATATTTATTGAAGGACTAGTGGAACATCATAGCCCAATTGGGATTATTCTCAACATATCAAAGATTCATTCAGTATAACAAATAATTTCATTACTTATAATAAACAAAGTTACAGAAAATTTTATAATCCAATAAATAGGATGTCATAGAAATATTCAACACAGATAAATACAATATATACATAGTTTAAATTAGACCATCTGTTGTAGAATTGCACAGTATAACTTGAACTCTCTGGCCAGGTAAGTTTCTAACATGAAACTTCACATGATCATACCTACAGTGTATTCTTGACTAATTCCTTGTTCCAAAGGAAAGTTTGATAAGGAAGTTGAATAATTTAGCTTTCTTATAGAGATAGTAGAACTCATTTAAGTAGCTTTCCTGTAGTACAAAGATTAGGCAGCTCTGATTGGAGCTCTAGATTGAAAATGAGTAGAAATAACCTCTTACAGAACACATCTAAATTTAACTTTGCTTCACACCAATAAACTATAGCCTCTACTACTTTATAGACAGATTAAAGCTCATCAGTATGACTAAAAATCACTGTGGAATCACTCTGTAATAGTTCTGTTGCTGTGCCTATAAATATAATTTCACTGAGTGACTTTCATTTTCTAGCTGCTTGGCTATACTTTTTTGTGTGGCAAACTAAAGGGCTTTAGGAATACGGTAAATGACAGATTAAAATAGTCTCAGATAAAACATGAAAGTCAAAATTAAATTATGTGGTTAAAAAATTGATTATTTTCAGAACAATTAAAAAATTATCATTTTGCAATTGATTTTAACTTAATGTTTATACTATTCTAAAAAGCTAAAATATTGAATTTCACTTATACTCATAAAGCCTAAAATATAGAAAATAAAAACATTAGGGGAAAAAATACGATTACCTAAGTGAATACATAAATAAATAATTATCATAAGAGGCAAAAGAAAGGCAGACAGCATCAGATATTGTAGTCTGGTAGAGCTTGAGTACTAGGTGGTCAAACAGTGGAAAATAATCTGGGAAACAGTTTTAAGTGTTTTATATTTAAAACACCTACACACACTCAGGTAGGCTGTGTGAAATTTACATGTTATTGTTGAGTATGGGCAGGCTTATTTTTCACATATTTCTCTCTTAATAGCCTGTAGTTTTAAAGAGAGACACAGAATTATCACCCAAGATGCTTGAAAACGATGGGTATTTTGAGGGCAATCCAGATTTACTGATGATATGGGGCCTGGAAATCTGAAAATTTAACAAACTTTCCTAGTAATGTTTATAAAAAACAAAATTCAAGAAAATCTACCAAATGAGAAAATACAAAGAATCCAGTAGATACTTTTTTTAAAAAAAACTTCTAAAATGGTTACTCTGTTATAGAAAAATAAAGGATTTTTGAGCTAGAAAAAAGTTCAACATGAAGTATAATTTAATATTTAAAAAATCCAGAGAAGTTGCTTTCATACATTTTAGGATTAGCATTTAGCTTTCTCATGGTTAAAAGTTAAAAAGGAAGAAGATATATGCTTCTTCATTATCCGAGGACATAATTATTTCTGTAAATGCCTTTGTGTCACTTACAAACAGGTGTTCTCACGCCCTCTCTTCCATCCTTCTTTCCTTGCTATCTTCTTTCTTCCTTCTTCTCTCTGCTTTGCTGCAGCAGTATTTAAATGGATACATAACACATATTAACTCTATCACATCTTTTAACATACATGTTGGTTTAACAATTGTATAGGAATTGCAGGAATTGTCCATTTTACTAAATTTTTAACCATAATTTTTCAGAGGTTTATGGTTAAAACAAAATTCCCTCAGTCTCACATGTCATCTGTGACTTGAAATATACACATCTGTTTTTTTTTTTTTTTTCTTTTTGAGATGGAGTTTCGCTCTTGTTACCCAGGCTGGAGTGCAATGGCGCGATCTCGGCTCACCACAACCTCCACCTCCTGGGTTCAGGCAATTCTCCTGCCTCAGCCTCCTGAGTAACTGGGATTACAGGCACGCGCCACCATGCCCAGCTGACATCTGTGTTTTGAGATTAAGCCGAAATGAAGGATGGCTTCTCTCTCCGGATCGGACTATACTTTGAGTCATTTAATTACAGTAAGACAAAAATATCAAGATGGCAAGAGAAGATTAACTGTGATGCCTCATTCTTTATTCCCCATGAAATGGATTGCCCATACCATAGTTACATAACACATGCATCGCCTTTCTAAAGCCCCAAACCTCACGATTAAACGGTCCATTTGTCCCTTCCCTGTGCGAGTATTGGAAAGTTTCCTCTTATCTATCAAAGGGACTTTCCTTCTGTGCTGACCACAAGGCAATTTTTCAAGGGCATGTTAAGTTATATTAGTATTTTATGAGCTCTTAGATAAGGTTAAATTTTCCTTAGATTTTGATGTGGAAAGAGAATGGAGTGTGATAGTGAATGCAGGGAGAAGTTGTGAAAGACTGTGAAATGAGCTGTAAAGATTACTAAATCACCTGTCGAGCAGAGTCTTCCAAGATTTCTCTGCCTTTCATCATCTTTGAGCTATTTTACTACTTTGTAAAATTTTAAAAATATGACATAAATGCAATTGACTTTCTTCCAGAAAAATGCAGTTATTGTGTCCAGTGAAAATGCTATTGATTATTTCTCTGTGAATAGACCATTTTCACATACTTATGATTTTAAATATACCTTTGAATGGGTTCTAATGTCTTATTGTTTCTATTATTAATCTAGTAAAATCTTTGATTTTTGTTTATGATATAGTTGGATGCGCTTACGATGAAATGTTTTTGAATGTCTTATCAAGCAATAAAACCCCCCTTCTAGACAAATAGCGCTCCCTTTCTTATTTTCAAGTAAGTGACAAAACTTATTGAAATACTGAGCCCATTGATTTATTTTACATATGAAAGCATGAACATTTCCTAGAAGTCCTCTTGGTATCAACTAGGTAAATTACCTATCAAATCTGTGCTAATATGTTATTTGTCCTAGAACTGGTTCTTAGTCCAAATTCTATACCATTTATTCCATTCCTATATCCTTCATTTCATCAATATAAAGTGCACTTGCCACACATTTGGTTTGATGAATGTTATTCTCTGTATAATCGCCTTAACTCAATTATCAAACAGTATTTTAAAATTAGAATGGCTGGGTGCAGTGACCCACACCTATAATCCCAGTATTTTGGGAGATCAAGGTGGGCGGATCACCTGAGGTCAGGAGTTGGAAACCAGCCTGGCCAGCATGGTGAAACCCCATCGCTACTAAAAATACAAAAAAAATTAGCCAGATGTGGTGTTATGTCTCTGTAGTCTCAGCTACTTGGGAGGCTGAGGCAGGAGAATCGCCTGAACCTGGGAGAAAGAGGTTGCAGTGAGCCCAGATCGCACCACTGCACTCCAGCCTGGGCAATAGAGCGAGACTCTGTCTCTAAATAATTTAAAATGAATAAATAAATAAATAAATATAGAATATTTTGGTCAAGTGTACATTGATGAGCTGTTTTATTTATATATGTAGAATTTCTAAAATAATTTTGCTTTTACCAGCCTAGCTTCTGTAATCTATAAATATGTAATAAATAGTAGATACTATTAATTAATGTGCTGTTTGGTATTTTGTTAGTTGACTTAAAAATGAGAGTGATAAAAAGGGATGATATCAAAGGCATTTTAAAATTGTTAGCCATTGGGGTTAAAAAAAAAAAAAAAAAGGGAAACCTAGACAAGTTGCCAGCATGGCTACACAGAGAAATTTCAATTTTCCCAAAACTGGAAAATCCTAGCATTTTACATGAGGACAGTATGCTTAACATATAACAAACATACCTGCTGTATATTAGAAATTATGTTTGTTAATCCTTAAGCAATTATTTTTAATCTTGATAGTTTTATTCTGATTTGAAATATAACAAGAATATAACTCTAGTCTCTTCTTGCAAAAAATTAATTCCAAATTAGCAAGATGATTCCAGTAAAGAAACATGACAAGCCTGTTGACAAAAAATAAAAATTAAAATTAAAAAATAGATCAAATTATGGTTAGGAAGATTAACCAAGTAAAAATCCAGTAGCTGGAATTTATTGTAAAAGCCAGTAAGAAATCATTCAGGAAATAAAAAAGTAAAAATAGCCCTCAATATGGAATAAAAAAAAAAGACATAGAGGGATTTTCTTTGCATTCAATAGAGACTGAGAAAACACAACTGTCAGAAGATTAAATACTGCTTGGGAATGTTTAGAAATGTGATGAAAGTCAATTAGACAATTGCTAGAAAAATATTCTTCAGTTGGTTGACCTGCACATCACAAAAATCAGCTTGATACTCCACTTTTTTCCTTCTTAACAAATTTAGGTCTTTTATTAGTGCTATGACAGAAAGAAGGAATGCTACCAAAAAGACCATTTGAATCTACTTTAATTATTTCTGAATAGGGAAACCATAACTGGACAGTAATTTATAACCTTGAGTTTGTAAAATCTGTAAACTCTCACAATGATGTGAAGGCAGAGAAAGTATGAGACTCAGTCCCCTCAGTCCCCTATAATAAGCTCATTCCATCATAAAATATATATTCCCTTCCTCTATGTGTCAGAAATGTTTAAAGTTTTCACCATTGGTACATTATTTGTGGCCCTTACATATTTGTGGATTCAATGAATACTTGAAAGAAATAAAATAGGACTGGACAATTTGAATTTCTTTTACACTCGTTGTCACTATTAGAAAATAAGGCCCTAATAAAATATGACAGAGCAGAATTAGTTTTTATACAGGAAAAATTTGTAAGTTGAAGAGGAGAAACTGCAGCCAGGAAATAAAGGTACACACCTAGATGGTTAAGAAAGAGTGGATGTTAATAAGAGAACATAAGGAAATTTCTGCCCTCCAGCTACTTCGAATTTAGTGTTCTGCCTAGCACTAATGTGATTGAACCCTATGGTACAGCAGTTAACTTTCTAAATGAGATGATAACTCTCTCCTACCTGTAGCAATTATAGACGCCTTGCTTACTTCTGCATATATATATATATATATATATATACACATATATATATACACACATATATATACATATATATACACACATATATATACGTATATATATATATATATATATTTATATATGCTGAAACATACTGATATCTGCTGCCTCCTTAATTTTACACTAATTTTTCAAGTAAGGGTTGATTTGATTAAAAAAATATGCACTTGGAAAAATTATTCCTCTATTCCCACATTTCTTGTTCATGTATATTTACTGCTCTCAGGACTATCACGCAAATAGATATGTGCTCCAAGATCTCTCTCCATTTCATGCCTGGCTTCTCTGTTTATCCACAATTATTTTGATAATATTTTACTGTGATTCCACAAATCTCTGAAGGGAATAGTGTTCCAAGTCATGGCCATCATTAGAAGACAATAAGCTTGTTTTCATTCCAACATCCTTAGCTTTGTTGAAGCCTAAGTGGAAGAAATTAACATACTGCATGCCTTTCAGTGAAAATTGTTTCTAATTATTTTGCTTCTCAAATTATTCCACCAGGGATTGATTAGACTTTCAAAATTTATTTCATATCTGTCACTCTCAGCTAACATTTGTAATTTTTTATTGTTGTTAAGGAGAATCCATTAATTGAAATACAATTATCCTATTTAATAAAAGTAAATAAAATTACTTGGGTACCCAGCATATTCAAGTAATCATCAATCTTGGTCAGAAATGGAAAGTAAGATGAGCATCGAAACTTGGCTCTCAAAGATTGACCATCTGCACCTTTGAGGCAAAATAAAATTCAATTTAGAGAAACCTTATGAAAATCAATGTGTTAATTATGCTATCAAGGGCTGTGGTAGGCAGAATTTTCTTTCTAGTCTTCAAAGATGTCCAGTTCTTAGTCCTGAAAATCTGTGGATATGTGATCTTATGTAACAAAAGGACTTCATAGATGTGATTGATGTTAAGGACCTGGAGGTGGAGAGTCACCAAGGTTATCCTGGTGGGTCCGAGGTAATCACAGTCATTTTTATAATCAACAAACATCTCCCAGCTGTGCTCAGAGAGGCTATGCTGGAAGAAGAGTGGTCAGAGAGGCAACATTGCCGGCTCTAAAGACAGAGGACAGGCCATGAACCAAGATATGCAGGTGGCCTCTAGAAGCTGGGACAGGGAAGAGAATGGACTCTGTCCTGGAGCCTCCAGAAGACATGCAGCCCTGCGCATTCCTTGCTTTTAGCCAGGTAAGGTGTCTGTCCATCAGGTGAGACCTACGAAATAATGAATGTGTGTGTTTTTTCACCACTAAATTTGTGCTAATTTGTTATGGTAGTGATAGAAAACTAAGACAAGGCTTGGCTATATCATGGCATGTCAGATTTTAAATTATCTGCTGTAGTTTATAAAATCTCTGAGAAGGAGCTGCAATTTGTCTTTTTAAAAAATTTCCCTCTAGGGAATTGAACATTAATGGGCTGGGTGCGGTGGCTGACGCCTAGCACTTTGGGACACTGAGGCACTACTGCACTCCAGCCTGGGCAACAAAGTGAGATTCTGTCTCAAAAGAAAAAAAAAAAAAGAAGTAAACATTAACAGATTATTAAGTAAGAAGCTGTGTGAGACCTGGCTTGAGTTTGTGCCTACAGACATTTAAAAGTTGGTATATTTTTCAGGTTTCCACTTGAAAGCAAAACCATTGCCTTAAATTCCAACTTTACAAAAATAGATCATGGGATTGAGGAAAATAATTTACTTGTTTGCTTTATAAAAAGAGACCCCTAACTCTATATAAATTTTGAAAACCCTTCTATAAGTTTCACAAGGTTACATTATTTGAACTATAGGTGTGAATGGTTATCAACACTCCAGAAACCAAAAGGTACATTTTAATTGGAAAAATTGCATTCCTATATCTTACAAATTAATTGAAGTTTGTCTACTCCTGAAAATATGTCAGAAATATTATGTAGCTTTGCCACAGTTTTATCTCACCTCTAGAATTTAAATTCATATAAAGATGAGTAACATAGCAATGGAGTTTAGAGAGTTTTCAGATTTGCTCAGAGACTCTTCTTTTGAAAACCTATGAAATAGGCTTTACCCAATGTGTATCTGGATCCAAAAACTAAAGAAAGTTCATGTTCAGATTCCTTTATACCCTGCATAAAAGAGAAAGAATAATTAACATCAATGGAGCACATAAGATGTATCTGGTTTAGCACTTGTCACATATTTTTTAATCTCAACAATTCAGCCAGATCAGTATTAATTTTTTTTATTTGTATAGATGAGGAAATTGCAGTTTACATTTTGTTATAACTGGCGTGGTCATACAGTTGGTAAATGGCTGACAGGAGAGTTCACTCCAGGTTTTACTGGCTCTCAAACTTTTGCTTTTTAAAAATCTTCAACTCAGCGCCTCTCCCTTTTAACTGTAAAATAAGCACAAATTAATCCCAATTCTACACAGTGCTGAACAAATTCCTTCAGGCAAACCATTAGCACAGGCAGATGGAGCGAGGGGAGTGGTTTATAACAATGGAAAGGTGTCTGCCTTCTGTGGGTTAAAGATAAAAACTCTCTGATTCTCCTCCCAGGGAGAGGTGAGGGCCTATGTCTCCTCCTCATGAACATGAGTGATCCTTGGATGGATTCTCCTTGACTGACAGAATATGGCAGAAGTAAGGCTGAACTATGTACTGGACGCAGGCTTCCAACTCTGACAGATTCTACGTCCTGTTTCTAGGAACATTCACTGTGGGAGCTCTGTGCTGCCATGCAAATGTCTGATTGCACGGAGGCTGCCATGCTATAAGAAACCCCAAGCTACCTAGCTGGAGAGGCTGGAGAGAATCAGCACGCATCAGCGTTTCCAGCCTTTTGGGTCTTCCCAGCTAAATCACAGATATTGTGAAGCAGAGATGAGACCTCCTGCCATGCCGTTTCCAAATCCTGGACCAACAGGATCATCAAGTACATTAGTACGTTTTTTCTTTAAGTCACTAATTTGGGGTGTAGTTCTAATGCAGCTAAAGATAATTAGAATACAGCCCCATGCAGGAGTTGGTAAACTTGCTCACTGTTATGTGTACATGCAGTGACTACTCACACACACAGTACTCGCACAACTCTACTTTCTGGTTTTCCATCCAGCAAATTTTAAGAAATGAAAATGTTATTCAGGGGAAACTAACTCAAGATCAATACTGTTGTAGCTAAACTCTTTGTAAATGATAAAATATTAAATGATTGCTAGGCATTTTCATTTAAAGAAGTTTGCTTCCTCTGTTAAAGTTTGGTTCTTTTGTGGATATGCTGCATATAGACATTGTAGACTGGAGTGATATATCTTGTTCAGGTTTCTATGTTTTCAAAATGATAACTCGACACACCCACCAATGCCAATTTTTAGAATATAAATCTGTGTGAACTAAGGAAAATTCAGGAATGATTGAACCTACATGTTTGGCCAGAAGAGACTGGATGATGTAAATCCATAGCTTTCACAACATCAAGTTTACAACGCCCAAGTAAGCCATTGCAGACATATCTAGGGAATTTCTCTGCAGGGTACAAGTCTGATCTGCCCCAATGGCAACACTCTTACTAAGTGCGTTCCTAGGCATTCATTGGCAGCTGGCTCCAGGCCACAGTAAAAAGCCCTGATGACTCTCTGAGAAGACCCACCTTCCACTCACATTCATGGAGATATGAGGATGACTTAGAGTCTTCAGGACTCAGATGGACTCCTTCAGTTGATGTGGGGTAAGCTCAGCTCGTCTCTAGAGAATTCTCACAGTGGAGCTCAAGCACAACTGTGCAGATGGCATGGGACAGCCAGAGTCTGACACCCAAGGAGAGCACTGTCAGTGGACAGACTCTCCACTAAGCGAGGTAGACAAGGGGGAAAGCCAGGTATCCACATGAAGCGTGCCTTACTCACGGAGACCAAGATTTTGCTCTACACTTCACAAAACATGGAGGTCATTAATGGAATTTTTCACAGGACATGACTGTCATACCCATTATAGGGACCCTGGCTAATTTTTCACTTATGATACCATGATAAGATAATTTTGAATATAAGAAGGATAACTCTAGAACTGCACTGTCCAATATGGTAATCCCTAGCAACCTAAGCCTATTTAAATTAATTAAAATTAAAACTTTAGTTCCTCAGTGTCACCAGCCATTATCAAGTACTGAATAACCACACATACTTGGCTACCATGTTGGACAGCACAGACATAGACCATTTCCATTACTGCATAAAGACCTATTTGACAGTCCATCTCTGCAACCAAACCAGGTTCCTTGGGGACCTAAAAAACTGAGGTGCTAAATCTCAGAGCAGTACTCTACTCAATGCTTAGTTAAAAGACTTGCTAATCTGTATAGTTGATCTAGAGGACTTTAAAAACAGCTAGTTCAGAGAAACAATGTTGCTGGACCTTGAAACTGTGTGTCAGGAACTTGGTGTTGTAGTGGTGACTTCTCATTTGTCTACCATGTTCACGCTTTTCCTAGGATTCATTTATCCATTCAGAACATATTTCAGAAGACCCTCTGCTTCACCAGGTGTTGTTGCAGGTACTGAGACACTGTGGTGAACAAATCAAATAAAGTCTCTGTTCTCATGGATCTCACATTCCGTGTGCTGATGCAGACAGTAAAAATTCAAACACAGAAGGGAATTTCACACAGTAGTAAGTTTTATGAATATTTCAAAAGGGGTGTGGAGTGGGAGAGGTTGATGTTTAGGTGTTTACTTGAGAATGAGCTATTCATACAAAGAATCATTCATTTGTTCCACAAATATTTATTTAGCACCTGTTATTACAGGGCTGTTTTATTAGGTTGCCCCTGCAGTGTTTTATTAGCACAATTAAAACACAACAACATTTGTTAGAAATTCAAAGGCCCATGTCCACTCCTTGCATGATGAATCAGGGTCTCAAGGTTATGGTCCAGAGGCTGATGTATTTAAAAATCACTGAAGTAATTTTAAGGTGTAACTGGAACAGAGAGGACACCTGAATTCATCCCAAACTCAACACACTAGACAAGGAGAAATAATTAAAATGAAGTAAATATTACGATCGAGGTTGTTTTGGCTTCAAAATGAATGACAGTTTGGAGGGGAAAGAAAGCAAATTATAAAAGACAATTAGGAAACTCTTAAATGTATTTAGATAATAGTTACAGAAGGACAAAAATGAGTAGAATCTGTGATGATAGAAAGAATAAAAATAAACAAAAGGACTTAAAACATATGGAAAAGAAAGAAGTCAACAATAACCCAGGCATTTTAATCTCATGTCTAAGAGAACAATGATGCTATTTAGTCAGGTATCCAAACCAAAAATATTAGGAGAAATAGGTTGGATTCATTTGTGATGTTGTAAATTTAGAATTACTTTTTAATTGTGGATGCATGCTTTTCCTTTTTCTGAAGTTCTGAGACATACAAAATTAATAAAGAAAAACAGGATTTTAATGCCAGAAAGTAAGATAGGAACAATTCTTCATACCCAATATAATTTTAGCCTCCCACATAATCCAAAATATATGTGCTGCAAAATTGTGGGGGTTTCGAAATTAGATCCAACTTCTGATTACAGTTAAAGATAAAAAGAAAACAAGGCTTTGTCTTTTTTTAGGATCATTTTTGGAACTTGCAACGTAAAAAGTACTCTTTGAAAAAATATAACTCAACATCAAAGTCCAATAAAACAGTAAACTGGACTAACTATATTCATATATTAGCTTGACCTAAGTCTGGGAATTGAGCCAGACTTTTCACCAATTATACTATCATTATTTACAGAAAAAGGAAATGTTAACTAACATTATTAAATAAAAACACATATACACATGCATAACAGGAAACAAAATAAATGTTAATGTTAATGAATGTTGAAGATGTGTATATATATATATATATATACACACACACACAAAACAGATAAAATATTCTCTTGAACATGATTAGAAATAGTAGCTATGCCAGGGGAAAATTTATGCATTCCCCTTGGCTGTGGACTACACATTTACTGTCTTACACAAATATGAAAAAAAATGCCATTTCCACAGTTGCCTAAAACAAAATTGAAATTATACATTTGTGTTTAAAGTTTGTTTTTTTTTTCTTACTGTACCTTTTCTTAATGAATGGTAGATAATGAAATTCAGGTGTTTGCAAAAACAAATGTAGTTTAAACTGTACCTTAGTCTTCCATGTAATACAAATACATTTTATATATTTATGGAAACATTTGTATGTATTCAGAAAGCTGATATTTTGTATTCAAGATTGACTCTGTTTTAAGTCTATTTCATTTGCAACACTCAATTTGACTAAAGGCAGATACGTAGGTCTTCACTTTTTGATTCATTATTAAGGCAAATTATAACTTCTGCTTAAGATAGTTTTCCTAATCAGAGTAGACATTTAGGCCACCTATCTAGACAAACATCCTGCTTTCAATCTGAAATATTTGATCTCTCTTTACCCATTCTAGGGTTGCGTGCATTTCAAAGGTGATCGTCTTGGTGTGGGGTCCCAATTTTCTCAGGGACTTAGCAGCACAGTCATTTGGCTGACATGTTGATGAGTTGAGACAAGAAGAAGGTGATGATGATGAGAGAGAGTCACGGGGAAATTCTGCCCGAGGAAGAACTAATCTGAGGCTGGAGAGATGTGCTGCCCCCACCCCTCTTTCTCAAATGATATTTATTCTTGAAAGACAGCGTGAAGTGTCTGAAATTGCAGAAGCAAAGTGGTTGCTGTAGAAATATATACCATGACATGCTTAAACTTGTTTCTTATAGGTTAAAGAAAGAAAAATGTGCATCTTGAAGAAAATTCCAAACCTTCATTGTGAGCAGTAATCCAATATTTCAATTTAGAAATTCAGAGGGTTTTAAATAAGAAGCAATTATTCCAGGGAAAAAGCAAACATAAATGCCAGCAGTCAAAAATCTTATGAAAAGATATGATTAAAATTGAGATTTAAATATATATATATATATATATACATATATATATATATATATATATATATATNATATTTACCTGAAGTTTTTGACTAAAGTCCATAGACATTTTCCCTCAAGAAGAGAATAAAAAAATTAACTGTTAAAGCATAAGAAATATTACAAAAAAGGTAATAATTCAGAAATTATTAGTATTTTGTTACAGACACCAAAGCCAAGCAGAATATTTTTCAGTGATTGGAAGCTAGTTTAAGTGAGAAGAAAACCATTATTATTACTATCACTATTCATTATTTTTATTTTTACTTTTGGCAGCGTTATTTGACAATCAGCTAACACATGGTAATAGACTTGATCTTTTATTTATTATAAAGGTTTTAACTTCTTATTTTAAGGGAATATTTTATTGACATCATCCAATTGTACATTATAAATGCAGCAAGACCAGATCAAGTGAACCTTCAGCGGAAGAGTCTCTTTCTTTTCTTAGTGCCTAGGACTCTACCTCCCACCTGCCACCTTTACCTTTGAGACATCCTGTTCTCCTGGCCTGTCTCTGTATAATATACAAGCTGTCCTTGACATAGCCTGTTCCTCTTTTTTCCTTCATTTTTTAAAATGGTTATGATATACTCTTAAAAACAAATTCAAATATTACTAATAAATTCTAATATTATCTGACTCTTTGAAATTAAGTAGTAATGTGTATTGTGTGTTAAATGCTGGTCTATGCTTATGCAACAGATGAGCAGGTGTCTCTCTGTGCCTGTATGTATTTGTTTCATATCAGTGTACACAGATTCATTCCTTTAAATGGCTATATAGTATTTCGGTGTATAAATTAATCACGGGTAAGTGACTAGTAATTTAACTGCTGCTATTTCCTCCCAAAATGGACAATGCCTTAGTAAGCATCTAGCCATTTCTCTATCTCCCTACTTACTGATCCACAAATAAACTACATCCACAAATAAACTACACATCTTCTTCATAAGAGTCTACACAAAAATGTTATAAGTAGCATTTTTAACACAATCGTTCTCTTAAGCTCACACTAGTAATAATTCTGCCTGGAATTCAGCCAGCCAAAGGTGTGGAAATAAATTTTATTTGTATATTAAATAGCAAAGATAGTGAACATTCATAACAGATGTAAAGCTAGCCAAGGATTCATTGAAACATTTCCACATACCATCTCTCCAAATCTGGTTTTAAAGAGACTGTAACATAATTTCAGGAATAAAGAACTTCTGGAATTGAGATTTATGGAAAAGAGATTATAGATCCATAAGATTCTAGGAATGCAAAAGGTCCGGAGGAGCCTCTAGGCACAGGCACTTTCTTTCCATGCTGAAGCTTCAATGTGGGTTCTGAAAATGCGGCTTCAGCAGCACACATTTGTTCCCCTGGTGTTGGATTTTCTATTGATTAACAGTTACCATTTTTTTCTTCTCTTAGGAAAGAAAGCCTGTAGGCACAAAAATCATTGCTCTGCTTACACTGAAATCTCCTGCTGTCTTTGAGAGCTGAGCATTGGATTTTGACAGGAGGGTGAAAGTTAGTGAAGATATGATTGGAACTTTTGTTGATCTAATACTACTGTGACACAGCTATCAAAACAGAATGAGTACAAAGTCGGTAGAAAGACCTGTATCTCTTCAGGTGTTGCTACTTATAATTGCAGAGGAACATTTTGAGATAGGAAATTTTATTCCACTTTTAAATAACTTTTTATAAAACACAATACTTGAAGAGAGTCCATTCTTTGGAAAAATTGTCTGGATGTAAGAAAAGTAACTGAATAGCAAGGGGTGGTAGTCAGAAGGTTCTTGACCACTAGATTTTCAAGTAGTGCCTCAAAATTGATCAGGCTCTGAAGAATCTATTGAGGCTGTATGGAGTAACCAAGTGATTGAAGAGAATGCACATATCTGAAAAATTTTATGTGGTGTTGTGTGATTTTTTTCGGTGGGGTAGTGTCTGGAGCTGAGCATGATGGAGCGTAGATGGGGCAGCCTTCTAATGTTCCCACCATTTCCCAAATCTTACGTTACATCAAAATTTTAATGACACAACTCACAGCAGCTGCGTAGGCTGAGTTTGGTGCCAGCTCTTATGAGAACATCTATCATTTCTCTCCCCTTCATGAATGCACATAAGCGCACATTTTCATGTAGAGGGCAAAGGACATTTCAAAGTTTGGATGGAATCTTTCATACTTAGAAATAATAAAAAAAATACTTTGGAATCTTACCAAGTATTAAACAAATAACAACAGTTTTTTTCCATTTAAGGATGCATGTTTTCAGGTCTATTGGATCTTTTGAGTTTGTATTTTGGACATGGAAACCACAGATGGAATTTAACTTATACAAAGTTACATAGAACTCCTCGCTGACCTCTTTTACTTAATTATTCTGAAATCTAAAGTAAGAATAATTATGAAATGTTATTAGTAGTGTTTGCATAACAAAAGTTACTTTAATATATTACATGTTTGAAGATTTTCATTTATACTTAATATCTAATTTAACTCTTGTAAAATATTATTCAGTAATTTTTTTAAATGACTTGTTCAGGGCTCCTTTTGGGATTTTGAATGAGAAAAACCCTATTTCATAATATTGTTACTGGGCTAATCCAATAACATTTCATAGATGGTTAGCCATCTCTAAAATTAAATTTTGTAGTTGGAAAGCATTGAAAATACCACCTATATTTGGATTTCTGTTTAACACTTCAGAATCCATTATTACCATAATTTGAAACTAGATTTAAATAAAAACTTCTTTATAGAAAACCTGATAAATGTGGTTTTATTTGTCCGTTTGTTTGTTTTGCAGGGCGGGATATTCCCTCGATAGCACTCTGTTTTTCTTTATGATTCATTGGTTATTTATAAATCTTATCATTTTTCTGATTTTAAATAAATTTCAGAATTAAAATCAAGCAACAGTGTCACAACTTAAAATGCATTTGTAACAAGAGTCAGCACTTAGAATGAAAAATGTAATTCATTAAGAGGTTACAACACTTATAAGCAGAGGTTACTCTGTTTATTTATAAGGGCAAGTATTTGTTATTTGATACAACATATTTATTAAGTATTAAGTATTATCCCGTGCAATCACTGTCCTAGGCTTCAGTTTTTGGTGATGATCAAAACTATTTGCAGGTTTCAAGAACCCTGCTCACAAAGAGCTTACAATCTTATGTGGGAAAATGATATTAGTGGCATAATTACATTAATTAATATATACTTGATGCAAATTTAAATAATTATTCTGAAGGAAAGACACCTACATCAAGAGAACCGGCTTAAACTGGGGGATCAAGGAAGCCTTTCCAAAGAGCTGTTGATTGAGCTGACAGTCGTCTGTGTAATGAGTGTGGTATGGGGAAGACACCACAGTCAGTGGGAAAGCCCTGAAGCCACAGGGAGTAGGGTTTGTTCAATGGAGAGAAGCTCCTGAGTGAGTAGAAAGCAGGTGACTACAGTGTGATGTCATGCTAAAGCAGCCAGGCACGTGGCTATGGAAGCAGAAGGAATTTATCCAAAAAGAATGGGGGAGCCGTTGGGGGATTTCATGTGGAGAGTGGTGGTGACAAGATCAGATTTGCAACTTGCAACTTTCTGTCTCAGGTTACAGCATGGGTATGACAGGATGGGCACAGAGTGGGGTGGGGAGGCAGGTCCGAGGCACTTTCCATAGTCCAGGAGAGTGGCATGGGGCACGAACTGTGTGTGTGTGTGTGTGTGTGTGTGTGTGTGCGCGCGCGCACGTGTGTGTGTGCTCGTGTGTGAGGGGGGTTGGGGGAAGAGGTGGGGTAACAACACCCTATTTGTTGTTTTGTTTCTTACACTTTGAAAACTATTTCAAAGCAGGAATGCTATTCCAAATGCTATTTAACACGTGGAACAGGAATAAGAACCAACTAAATATCATGGGAGATGACCAATCAGAACACACTCAGTACATGCATAAACATCAGCTCTGCGTGCTAGTACGATTTTAAAACATACTTTCATATCTATGTAAACGAAGTAAAAATCTTAAAAGATGATTTTATGCTTGTGGTCATCAGATAGTCAGCCTTTCAGTAGTTGATATTTTATAGTAGTTTCAGGAGGTCTGCTTTTAATAGTAGTTTTCCTTTCCTCCCTACCTCCATTACGTTAAAATGTCAAAGGGTGCTTTTCTTTGTTAATAAGCAAGGCCAAGTTAAGATTATCAGAAAGTCAATAGTGTAGCCAAACCCAAAAAATATTGTCTGTTTTGCCAAGAGAAAGCATCTCACTGAATATCTGGAAAGCTCATTGTCTCTAATTATGGTTATTTTATGAGTTACCATAACTCAGCGGCAGCTGTAATGCAACTGGCCAGCTCCAAGGACGAAATCAATAACCACGAAAACAGAGTAAATGCTGTTTGGGGTGCATGAAGCATCATTTTTATCTAAGATAAAGTACATCTCATTTAAATGTATTTCAACTTGATATTTTGTATATATTTTTAATACACTTCAATTTTACTAGAATCTCTGCAATATTTAATCAATATACTGAATGATATGCTGTCTCCTTTTGTACTCAAATAGGATCTGTTTATGTTTTAGTTAAGAAATGCTATGACACATTATACTAGTAAAACATTTACTGGTAGGAATTTGTTTTAAACTCTCCATGTTATTCAGCTGGGAAGCGTATTACAAGTAAGTCTTTAAAGACTGCAATTGAAGAGTTAATTTTAAGTCTCACCCACCACCACGCCCAGCTAAGTTTTGTGTTTTTACAAATACAAACATTTCACCATGTTGGCAAGGCTAGTCTTCAGCTCCTGACCTCAGATAATCCTCCCACCTCGGCCTCTCAAAGTGCTGGAATTACAGGTGTAAGCCACCATGCCTTGGCAGGAAAGTATGAGTCCAGTTTCATTTTTCTGCATGTGGAAATCCAATTTTCCCAGCACACATTTTTTGAAGAGGATATCCTTTCCCCAATGTAGGTTCTTGGCATTTTTGCCAAAAATCAGCTAGCTGTGAATGTGGGGGGTTGTTTCTAGATTCTCTATTTTGTTCCATTAGTCTCTCCGTGTCTTGTTATACCAA